CACTCTACAATAGAGATTTGGACATTAGGCGTTTGATTATACATATCAAGGACATTATTTTTTATGTTTTATACTTTGTACTGTGAATTGATTCGTGATTGGAGTAAATATTAACATGATGGGTTCTCGTAAAGGGCTGTGCTATGGGTACATAATTGTACACATAGCTCCTAAAACAACACTTATATACTAGTAATAGTGCTTGTCTTATACTTGGATATTTATTCTATGTAGAGGAGAGTAGGAAATCTATGAAGATGACCAAGATTTCATGGTAGGGGTGCCAAAAGATTGAGTCGGTCATGGTTGGCCAATTGACAACGGTTCCTTATTCGGTCCATAAAATAGGCCAATTCTTATGTCAATGGTTTGGCTTTATCTATCTTGTCGATCCTTTTATTATACAAGAAATTACACACACACCCCCCTACTTTTCAACTTTTCATTTCAACAATCAAGTAAAGTTCTTTCTTTCAAAAATTATGTGCACCCCATCCCACCCCACCCCACCAACCTAATTCTAATTCATTTTCCCAAACCCAATGGTTCAAACCCTGGGTTGCTTGCGTTGGAATTATTCTATTATGTGGGCTTNTGTTGGAATTATTCTATTATGTGGGCTTCCATTTGAGATTTTTACGGGTTAGATGTATGGTTTGCAATAGTACTGTGATTAGGTCTAATATGTTAATGATCATTTGGACCGTTATACACCTTACGGACTATGTTATTATATTTTGGTGATTTTAAGTATGTAGGCCGGAATTATGTGAACCCTAATTAGGTTTAGAGTCGGTAATGGGCCGACTTTATAATTTCCTATATAATGGCTAGGTCTCCTCTCCTCTCCATATCGTATTGACTTGCCCCATTGAAGGCTGATTATTTTGAGGAGCAAGGAGAGGAAGATCTAGCTGGTAATATTTATACATATAACGTGTTCCGCATGTATGAATTTGAACTATCAATTATAATATGTGATTCTTATTCTTAGCATAGTTATTGAATAATTACAACAATTGGTATCAGAGCGGGCATGCTACAATTAGAATCTTTTAAACAAAACATTAAAAAAAAAAAAATTCTTCCTCCCCTCCAAAATTCACTTTATTCAACTTTTGAACTATTTCTTTATTATCTCTCCATCGCTATCCACTATGTAGAATTGTACATGATTAATTTCATAAAAAATTACACACGGACAGAATTCACTAAAGAAGATTTTGAGTGAATGCTTTTGCCGCTAGATTAGGCGCACATGCATGTTTCTTTACATCTTATCAACTTATCTATTTGCATTTCTGAATTTATTTGTGAATATTAAAAGTTTTCACATTTATTGTTTTTTTTGTGATTCGGGAATTAAGTATTATTGTTCACATTGAACAGGGTTGATCTGGAACACGTTGTTTTAGATATTTTGACGAATTTATGGATTAATGTTAATTTAATATGCTGAAATTGAAATGAATTGGTTTTAAATTGTCCTTTTTGAG